GCATTTCTGGGGCGTCCCCGGGGAGGTCTGTTGAAGACGCCCTGGGGGTTGGGGGGGGGCCTCTTGGGGGCCTCTTGGGGTCTCTGGGGGCGTCGTGGGGGTCCCTCGGGGCTTCTTGGGTTGTCTTGGGTTGTCTTGGGGCCCTCTTGGACCGTTTGGGGGGGCCTTTTCGGCCGTCTTGCCCTCTTAAGAGCCACTTTGGCCGTCTTGGGGGCGACCTTGGGGGCCTCTTGGGCCGTCTTGCGCGGTCGGAAGCTCGAAACAGCGAGAACGTTAAAATCGATCGAACACCTGGACAGAAATCAATGAATGTTGGCGTCTGGGGCCCTCATGGGGGCCATCTTCGGGCTCTCGTGGGGCGTCTTGGGGAGCCTTTTGGGCCGTCCTGCAACCAGCTTGAGCGTTCCGGTGCAGCCTTGGGCCGTTTCGGTGCTCCGCGGGACCGTCTGGGAAGCGATCCTGGGCCTACTTTGGCGGCTTGGGATGGCCTGGAGGGGCCCCTGGAGCCGAAAAATCGAGTTTCTTCCGAGGGGAGCGCCCAGGGCCGAATTTACGCACGGGGGGGGTCCTTACAAGGTGAACGTTTTCTCACTCGGCGTTTCGACATTGGGCGGAAAGGGGGGGGAGGGGGGGGGGTCTGGCTCCAGACCTCAGCTTAGCGCGACTGTTTGCAACAGTGCGTTCTATCGGGGAGACCCTGCTCGAAACAGGCGCCAAAAACAGCCAAGTTCTACTCCATGGGGCATGGGGGGGGCGAGGGGGGGGGTGCGAGGGCCCGCGCCGATCGGCAAAACAATGAGTAAGAAAACGATCGCAAGACTAGGCGAGCCAGAATGCACCCACGCGTTTTCTGCACACACACACACACACACACACACACTCGAAAGCTAGGCGAGGGCTGCGAAAACCGTGGCTACTGAAACGGCCCTCCCGGAAGGAAAAAACAACTTCCCGGAATGAGGCGCGGCACGCGAAACAGTCAACGGGCTTCTTCCCGGAAGGACGAAGACAACTTCCCGGAAGTCGATTTTAGCAGCCACGGATTTAGCAGCCCTTGCCCGGCTTCCGACACACGCTCTTCTTGGCGTCGCGGCCCCGCGCGCGGCGACGGGGCGTCGCGAGCCGGAAGGCAGCGAGGCCCGCGCGCCTACGCCCGGCCGAGCACTCGGAGGCAGCTCAGACACACACACACACACAGACACACCGCCGCAGGGCCTGCGCAGATCCGTCCGGAGCCAGATCCTGGCGCGCGCCGGCTCCCAGCCAGACTAGGGGACCTGGGGATGGCCTGGTGGTGGCGTCCTCCTCTTCCTCCTCCTCCTCCTCCTCCTCCTCCTCCTCCTCCTCCTCCTCCTCCTCCTCATCCTCCTCCTCCTCCTCCTCCTCCTCCTCCTCCTCCTCGCGTGCCTCTCCTCGCACCGAGCTCCTGCGCCCTCCGCCGTCCAGCTGTCCAGCTTCGTCCGCAGGTGCAGCGCGCAGCCAACCTCGCGCCGCAGCTGGCGCCGCGCCAGCCCCCGGCTGTCGAGCATCTGCTTCTGCCACGCCTCGAGCAGGTCTCTCCCCCCGCGTGGCGGCCCAGGACGACGTCCGCCCGACTTGGCCAGCTGCTCCATTCGCATGGCCAGGTCGATTTCCCCGACCCATGGCTCGAAAGAGTCGAAGCCAAACAGCAGACTGAAGAACACAGCAGGGTCTATCTGGCTCAAGAGGCCCTTGCTGTCGACTGCACTTTTGCCTCCAGCATCGTACTGCTTCCGCAACTCTGAGTCGCCCAGGACCTTGTACGCTTCTGAGAGGGTCTGGAAGCGCGCGGTGGCACCCTCGTCGCCAGGGTTGATGTCGGGATGGCACAGGCGCGCCTCTCTATAGTACGCCTTCTTGATATCGCTGGTGGAAGCAGAGGTGGCCACCCGGAGGACATCGTAAAACTCGGTCTCGGCGACTGACGAGGCCGCTTCGAACTCGGGCTCGTCTGGCACCGCCACCTCACGCTCCAGGGCCCGAAGATCGAGATCCACCCACGCGCCCCGCGAGGCGTCCCAGGACTGCTGGTCGGCCCTGGCTCTCACCGCACGAGGCGTGCCGAGCAGCCCCCTCCCGAGCTGCACCACGGCGAGCAGCAGCCCCACCCCCGCGGCCAGCGCGCCGACGGCGCACCCGCCGCCCAGCACCAGCAGCGCCCGCAGCGGCCTGCGCCGCCGCAGCTCCACGAGCCCCGACCCGGCCGCGCCGGCGAGCGCCAGGGGCGCGCACGCGAGGGCGAGGGCTCCCAGCTTGACGCCCTGCGCCAGGCCCTCCAATGCGTCGCGCGGCCGCGTTCGCACGGCCAGCCCGGCACCGGGCGGCGGCCGCCCGCCGCTGCGGTCGCCGCGGCCGCCGCGGCCGCGGCTGGCGGCGCGCGCCCGCGCGGGCAGCGCGGCGGGCGGCGCGCACGCCCGCGCGTCGCGGGCGCCGCGCCCGCGAGGCGGCGAGGGCCGCCGCCAGCAGCGCGCCGCGGGCCCTGGCGCGCGAGCGCGCGCCGCGCGCGTGCGGCGGCGCGCCGCGGGGGCCACGCTGGCCCGCCGCCATGGCCAGCCAGGGCGCGGCAGCACACCCCTGCGGGCCCTGGCCGCAGCGGAAGCTCGAGGCCTGGAAGGCTCGTGGGTCCCAGGCGGCGCTGGGAGGGCTCGAGGCCAAGAGAAGGCCCCTTCTCGCGCTCGCGCTGAAATGCCGCTCCCCCGCCCCTGCACCTGATCCTGTTCTGCCCCCTCGTCATCCTGTCCTCTCCGTTCTCCAGTCCCCGAACCCTTATCCTTATCCTGCTAGTCACACTCCCTCCTCATCCTCCCCTATAATCTAATGTCTCAACTTGTTGCCACTGTCATTAACAATCACAATACTAATAATCATGCGAATAATAAGTCGAAATATTAATAATAATAATAATAATAATAATAATAATAATAATAATAATAATAATAATAATAATAATATTACGAATAATAACAATAATAATAATAAATAATGATGATACTAATAATAATAGTCATCGTCGTCGTAGTAGTAGTAACAGTAGTAGCAGCAGCAGTATAAGTGGTAGTTTGAGTATGAGTATTACTTGGGGCATTCGTATTGTGAATAATAGGTATACAAAGTAATGATAGTATGATTGGTTGTACGATTAGTGTAAGTATGAGTAGTGTTTATATCAGTGTTGTTATGATCATTACTAGTTGCATGTTGAATATTACGCATGTTCATACGATTCGCAAATATACTGTTATTGGTGGCTGAATAACTAATAGGATTAGTTTTGGCGTTACTACTGTTACTGGTATTACTGGCACTGATAAACTGGATCAGTAATATTATTAGTAGTGGTAGTATTACTGGTATTGCTATGATTATCCGTATTAGTATCAGTAGTTGTAGTATTGTTATTATGAGTATTGCTATTCTGATTATTAATATTATTGTCATTATTACTACTGTAATTAGTACTAACATCATTGTTCGCATTATTCTTCCATATCCTCCTCCTCCTCTTCCTGCTCCTCCTCCTCCTCCTGCTCCTCCTCCTGCTCATCCTCCTCCTCCTGCTCCTCCTCCTGCTCCTCCGCCTGCTACTCCTCAACCTCATCGTTCTGCTCCTAATTGACTGTGCCAACCCTGGCTATGCCAACCCTGACTGTGCCAACTAAGCTCCTCCCCAACGGAGGGCCCCCCTTCCTCCTGCGACCAGCGACTACCTTCACACTCGTCCCGGTGGAGGCGACTGACCGTCGCAGCGTCTGTTGGAATCCGAGGCGGCTGGGTGTTCCCAAGGGTCGTGTCGCCAGTGGGTTGCGTTGGACGGTCGGCAAGGTCCTCTCTGTCATCCCCCTGCCCCTTCTCCTGCGGCTCGCGACCCATTTCGCACCCTTCCCGGCGTAGGTGACTAAACCCGCAGAAACCCTTGGAATCCGAGGCAGCTGGGTATTCCCAGGGGTCGTGTTGCCTGTGGGTTGTGTTGGACGGCCAGCAAGGTTCTCTCAATATTCTCCCTATCCCTCACCCTGCGACTCGCGACTATCTTCACACTCTTCCCGGTGGAAGCGACTGACCGTCGCCAGAGTCAGTTGGAATCCGAGGCGGCTAGGTGTTCCCAGAGGACGTGTTGCCAGTGGGTTGTGTTGGACGGTCGGCAAGGTCCTCTCTGTCTTTTCCCTACACCTTCTCCTGTGGCTCGCGACCCATTTCGCAATCTTCCCCGCGCAGGTGAACGACCATCGCAGAGTCTGTTGGTATCCGAGGCGGATGGGCGCCCCACGAGGTCGCGTTGCCAGCGGGTTGTGTTGGACGGTCGGCAAAGTCCTCTCGATATTCTCCCTGCCCGTCACCCTGCGACTCGCGACCATCATCAAATTCTTCCCGGTGGCGGCGACTGACCGTCGCGGAGTCCGTTGGAATCCGAGGCCAGTTGGGCGCGCCGAGAGGTCGCGTTGCCACTGGGTTGCGTTGGATGGTCGGCAAGGCCCCCCCTGTCTTCTTCCCGCTCCTCCTCCTGTGATTCGCGACTACCTTCGCGCTTTTCCCAATGGAGGCGACCCATTTCGCAGTCTTCCCGGCGCAAGCGACGAACCGTCGCATCTCGAGGAATCATGGGCAGGGAGGAAGGAGAATGCAGGAGGGGAGGGAGGGTAATGCACGCCAAGCACACGGTGCGAGGGGGGGAAGAGCTTACCATAACCCTGTGTACACTGACCCGTACGCCAGGCGCTCTGATTCTGGCAGGGCGCTGACAGCACGCAGACGCCGTCGACACGGGGGTGGAGGCAGACGGCCGCGCCTCCGACGTCAAGGGCCCGACCTCGCACGAGAACACTCCCGCCCTACAGCGAACGGCCAGCGTCGGCGCCCACGGGATCCCGACCATCTCGCAAGGGCGCCTGGCGCCCCCTGTTCGCGCCGACGCGGCGTCCCAGGCTTTGTCCACGCAGTTGCGCCCAGTCGATACCCAGGCACAATCAGTCGCTCATGGCCCGAGCATCGCAGCTGCGTCTGCGAAATGAGGTCAGAAAGGCGACGCAGGTTCGCTGATCGTGCCGACGCGGGTCGAAAGTGCGCGCGGTGCCAGGGGCAGCGCGATGCTCGGCAAAGGCGTGCCGGACGGCTGTGAACGACGCACCCAGGGCGACCTGATGGTGCCTGATCGTCTCGTTCGGTGACACTCCGCGGGGTTCCCACTGGGAGTCGTGGACCCGGGCTTTCTAGAGCGGCCTTCCAGCGTGGGAGCCCAGTGGTCCTGGATGCTGGCGATCGGCGAACAGCCTGGGCATCCACCCACTTCCCGTCCGACGCGTCGAGAATGCCCCCCGGTCGGGCTGCCGGCCCGTCTCGGCGGTCGAGCCCGCGCCCCCACCCGAGAGGGGGGGGGGGTCTGGCGAGCTTTGCAGGGACGCAGGGGTTGCCCCGCGGCCGCTACTCGAGGCGTCCGTCCGCATCGAGTAGCTGGCAAGGGAGGGAGGAAGAATGGGGGCGCAAGGGCTCGTCGAAACCAGCGGAAGGATGGCTTCGCTGTCCCGTTCGCCACGGGAACGCTGACGCGTGGGCGCAGTGGAACTTCCCAGTGCCGTCTGGAGGGTGGCTTCACTGTCGGGCAGGCCGTCGGGTTGGCCGTCGGGCTGGCCGAGAAGCTGGCCGTGGGATTGGGCGTCGGGCAAGGCCTCAGGTAGAGTGTTGGGTAGGGCGTCAGGTTGGGCGTCGGGAGCGGTGTCCCCTTCCTCCTGCGACTCGCGACTATCTTCACTCTCTTCCCAGTGGAGGCGACTGACCGTCGCAGAGTCAGTTGGAATCCGCGGCGGCTGGGTGTTCCCAGAGGTCGCGTCGCCAGTGGGTTGCGCTGGACGGTCGGCAAGGCCCTCTCTGTCATCTCCCTGCCTCGTCTCCTGCGGCTCGCGACCCATTTCGCACTCTTCCCGGTGCAGGTGACTAACCATCGCAGAATCCCTTGGAATCCGAAGCAGCTGGGTGTTTCCAGAGGTCGTGTTGCCAGTGGGTTGTGTTGGACGGTCAGCAAGCTGTCTTCTCCCTGCCCCTCACCCTGCGACTCGCAACTATCTTCACACTCTTCCCGGTGGAAGCGACTGACCGTCGCCAGAGTGAGTTGGAATCCGAGGCGGATGGGCGTTCCCAGAGGTCGTGTTGCCAGTGGGTTGCGTTGGACGGTCGGCAAGGTCCTCTCTGCCTTATCCCTGCCCCTTCTCCTGCGGCTCGCGACCCATTTCGCAATCTTCCCCCCGTGTAGGTAAACGACCAGCGCAGAGTCTGTTGGTATCCGAGGCGGCTGCGTGTTCCCAGGGGTCGCGTTGCCAGCGGGTTGTGTTGGACGATCGGCAAAGTCCTCTCAGTCTTCTCCCTGCCCCTCACCCTGCGACTCCCGACTATCATCACATCCTTCCCGGTGGCGGCGACTGACCGTCGCAGAGCCCGTTGAAATCCGAGGCGGTCGGGTGCGCCAAGAGGTCGCGTTGCCAGTGGGTTGTGTGGTGCGGTCGGCAAGGTCCTCCCTGACTTCTTCCTGCTCCTTCTCCTGCGATTCCCGACTATCTTCGCGCTCTCCCCGGTGGAGGCGACTCATGTCGCAATCTTCCCGGCGCAGGCGACTAACCGTCGCGCCTCGAAGAATCATGGGCAGGGGGGAGGAGAAAAGTCACTCTCATGGGAAACGCCCTGCGTAGGCGGGTCGCCAACCCACCCGTCGGCGCGCTGGGCCTGCGTCGCGGCCATGCCGCCGGGCAGCTCTGTTGGACAGCCGCGCAAGCCAGGCGGTTCCAGGAGAGCGTCGACAGGAGGATGGCCGTCAGGCTGGCAGTCGGGCTGGCCGCGGGGCCGGCCGTCGGGCTGGCCGTCGGGCCGGCAGCGGGGCTGGCAGTCGGGCTGACCGTGGGACGGGCAGGCCGCGGGGCTGGCCGCAGGGCTTGCCGCGGGGCTGGCCGTAGGGCTGGCAGTCGGGCTGGCCGTGGGGCTGACCGTCGGGCTGGCCGCGGGGCCGGCAGTGCGGCCGGCCGCGGGGTAGGCCGTGGGGCCGGCCGTGGGGCTGGCAGTCGGGCTGGCCGTAGGGCTGGCCGTAGAGCTGGCAGCCCCGCGCCAGGCCACTCGGCCCGCCCGGCACCGTCACCGCAGCGGCGGCGGCGGCCGCCGCACGGGAAAGGGCGGCCGCCGCGGCCCACAGGCCTGCGGCAGCCGCCGCGGCGGTGGCCTCGGCGGCAGCGCCCGCGGCGCCAGCGGCGCACCAGGCGCCGGCAGCGCGCGCGGCGGCGCCCGCGCGGTCCCTGGCGCACGCGGCGCCGGCGGCGCCAGCGGCGCCCAGCGGCACGCGGCGCGCACCGCGCCAGCGGCAGCAGCCGGCGCCAGCAGCGCCAGAGGCGCCCGCGGCCGCCGCGCGCCGGCAGCGCCGGCCGCGGCCACGCACCGGCGGCACTGGCGGCGACTGCGGCGCCAGCGCCGCGGCCACAGCGCTCGCGGCGCCCGTGCGCCGGC